GAACTAATCATGTTTTATTGAGCAGCTCTTTTATAGCGTACCGACAGTGACATATGTCACAATAGGACACAACTGGTGGCTCTCAATGCGATCGTCAGCGTATGTGACAGCTCGGGAGTATCATATCGACAGGGCATTTCCCATCAATAGAATGAAGAATAGGATATAGGAATGAGACGGATTGAGGAGCCTAGGCAGCAGACGAGTGGGGAGGCCTATTAAATGCAAGCTGCCCCCATTGAGAGGATCTTGCGCTGTCTACCTACTTTGTGAAGTCAACCTCAGCCATCTCAGCTAAGACAGCATTGAATGTGTCTGGTGGAGTTTATTTGAATTTGTCGACTTGCTAATGTCAATAATTACTCGGTGGTTATCTTCAAGTCTCAGTTGAATTTTCTTTCATTAACACTTTTGAAATATGTCTAACAATCTAGTTCTCAAACTCCGTACCAGAACCCAGACCATGCGAGTTAGGGTTGACTCCGAGAAACTGACCGATATGTACCAGATCAAAGACTATATTGAGCAGTCTTGGACTCAGTTGAAGGGCAAAGACTACCGTGTCTATTATGTAGATGAGTTCGGAGAGATGTGCCTCCTGAATGATCTGTCTTTGGGTGATGCTATTGCAACGGTACAAGAGCTCAATATGTCGGCTAAGAATATCCCTGTGTTGGATTTGTTCATCCAGGCTGAAGGGGAAGAGGTTCCGCTATCATCAAAAAGTCAGTCAGACGATGATGGTGAGATTGCTCGAGAAGTTGATGTTGCTAATACTCTAGCTCAAGTGTTGGACGATATGGACTACATGGACAGTCTCGATGTTGCTGAGCAGTTTGTTGAGGGTTTGGTAGCAGCTGATTCTGACTTGGATGCTATCTTGGATCAGCTACAGGCTGATGATGCTGAGAACTCGCGCAAGCCAGTTTCGTCTACTACTCCTGCTAAGAAGATTGGTGTTTCTGGGAAGAAGTCGTCGAAGGTGGCGCAGCAAGCACCTAAGGCCGTTGATAGAGAGACCGCCTCTATCGGCAAGACCAAAGCTAAGGAGGTTGCTCCTTCTGGAAAGAAGTCGTCGAAAATAGTGCAGCACACGCCTAAGGTTGCCCCTAGGACCACTCCTAGCAGCAGCAAGGTCGAAGTTAATGGTTATCAGCAAGTGAATGGTGAAGCTCCTAGACAGTTCCATGTTGAGAAACAGGTGTCTTCGCCTGAGGAGGCCTCTGATATGATGGTAGACTTGCTCACTAAAATGGGTTTTGTGGATAACAAGAAGGCGGCCGAGGATCTCGTTGGAGAACTCCTCAACTCCCCTGATGATCTTCAGAGAGTTGCTGATCACATCGACGACCTAATTGAAGGTAGAGAGCCACTTGCTACTGACAGCTTGGACGACACTGCCAAGAAGCTCATCGATATGTTGGACGACTCCGGTGTGGTTCAGGACAGAGTTGCCGCTGAGAATCTAGTCAATGTTTTGATGGATGCAGGGCAAGATGTCGATAAGGTCCTTAGCGACTTCGTGGACCGCACAACGACTGGTAAGCGGCAGCAGGTGGCGGTTCAGCAACAATAGAACTCATTGAGTATTTTCCCGAGTAGCAGCAGCTAACAGCTCAATTCACGACTGCGTGAGTTATTCCCTCGAGTTGTTTTTCATCACATCAAATACACTCATCTCGTTATTTTTACTTTCATGTGTTGAGAAAATGGTTTCTCCTTCAACTAGTTATGTGTTGAGTTGCCAGTAGGAGGCTCATTGAGCTAAGCTCAGTAGTGATTCAAAGATATGTTCAATAAGGCGTCTTATCTGAGGGATTTCATGGTTGGGTTTTAGGTAAGAGACTCCACTACTTCATTTTCTCACGTTAGGGCATGTCTTCCCTCCAAAACTTGTTTGCTGAATGATTTACTGTCGAGTCCTGAGTAGTGTACACTAGTGACTTGGCTTCACTCATGTACAGCTGTAACGCACTACGACTAGGCGAGAACCTCTGAAACATTGTTGACCATATCGGTGGTCTTGGAGTAGTAGATGAACACTGGTGCGAAAAACCTGTGACACCACATATCTTGGATGATCCTCTGTCAACAAGCATATTATTCTCATGCCTGGATGCGCGTTTATTGCACCGTGCCCAGGTGAGGCGCCAATGGAATCTGGTACCAACTGTAAACATTCACAACTGCGGGCTTTACTCCCAGCATTGTGTTTTGAAGTTGTTAAACTTGTCCTTTTACAAAACCTAATTTCGTAGATTGGACAGCGAAACAAAGCTGAAATTTGTCCTTGTATGAAATGAATCAATTCTTTACAAATCCTCATCGATGCATATAGGAAAAGGATTGATATTCAAATATTGTTTTACATCCACATTCAATGGAGGAGATCTCACAGGTAACAAAGCTTATCGTAATTACTCTCAGAATGTCTTCAACTTGGCACACAAGGCCCGAACACTTCTACTCCGTAAAACAGTCCATTTTAAAACACAAACCCACAAACTTTGAATGAAACGCCTAGGCTTCTCAAATGGAGTCTTGAAATATTGGCTTCAACTGAAATTAGCGCTCAAATGAGCAGCAACTCAATATTGTGCAACTATAATAATATTTATATCTTCAAACTGCTGATTAAATCAACCCAGTAGATCAATCTTATCAGCCTTGGGATCACGAGGGTGTTTAGGACCAGCCCAACCCCATCGAGGTTCTGCTGCCTGCAACTTCTTACCAGCCTTCTTCTGCTTCTGCTCATACTCCTTCACTTCCTCTTTCACACCTCTCATAGCAGCAGCATCATCCATAGCTTGTCTCTCCTCGGGAGTCGGCAACGGCTTGTCGTTGACGGGCTTAGAAGGACCGTGAATGAAGTGGAAGAGAATTCTATTCAAGTCCTGATCAGTAGCTTCCAGAGCAGCAACAAGCTT